AAGAAGGATTCCCAAGTCTCCTTCTTTGACAATAAGTCAACAAGAATTTGACAATGTCAAGCAGTCTGCAGGATTGAGCCTGAATTTCAGAATATGGGATAAAATGCCTGAACAAGCTCATCATGGCCAGATGAATTTCAGCCTGCTTAGAAAATGTGCTCACTACCACATCCTACTCCAGTGTTCTCTCAACACCTAATTTTCAGCCATCCAGTCTGCCCAGGTGTTCGCAGTGTGCCCGTGATATCAGAGCACTTAACACAAACCTTGCTCCAGCCATGGCAGTTGGGAGGCCTGGGAAACTCTGAACTGTGGGGTGAACCAAAAAATGGAAGTAAAAGCTTAGCTATTGAAAGGAAGCTGAAAGAATGTGCAAGCCCAGCTAGCCTGCCAAAATACTTTTGAACTTGCCAAAATACTTTTGATAAAAAGAATTTAGCAAAAAATGCCATTTTGCTAAAGCTAACTTGTTTTAAACACACATTTTCTAACACAATTTTGGCGGGAAGGACACATGGATACTTTTCAGATGCAGCAAGTCAGGTCCCCTGCTCTGTCAGAATGATCCGAAATCAACTCTTTTTCTTACTCAGGAGCAGCAAGTTGAATCTCCAGCCATTTGGGTGAACCCTCTGAAAGGTTTTGCTTTTGTTTCAAAGAAAATAAAATTCAAACCTCCTTACTTAAATCATGGAACTTAAATCACCATCCTCAGTTTAGCAATACTTTTATTAATACAAGAAGCTGCATGTACATTTATTTGCGAGGAAGTCCTTAGGAGCTGCCTGCCAGGAAGCGGACAAGCACAATAATGATAGATGGCTGTGCCTGGGACACTAACAAGGGTGATTTTTGCCTGAATGATGGATGAACAGTTCAACCCCAGAATCAGGTTAAGTAGTTTATTAAAATGAGTTAGTGCTGGGAAGTACTGTAGCTGTTACTGAAAAAAAAAAAAAGTGCGATTTTTTTGCTTCAAAATAATAAAATAAATATGACATTAGATATAATTTTGCCTCACGGAAGAGATTTTGTGGACATTAATTTTAAAAAATTAAAACTACACAATAAAATTTTATAAAACACAGCTGAGGAACTCCAGCTTTGTATATTATTTAATTAAAGCATGTACAGTAAAAGTAATGGGAATGTGAGTTTGTACGTATTTCCAGAAAATAGATCATTTGACAATGTTCCAAGAGTAAATAAACCTTGTAATGCAATTCAGAACAAATGCACATCAAGTTACTGCAGTCCTATACATGTACATCAGCTGTCAACAGCCAATCGTCTGCTCTGTAGCCGTAGCACTTGATTCACAACATGTGTAACAGCACACAGATGGCAAGATGCACAAAGCAATGTACACGAGATAAAATGTTACAAAACACTAGTCAAAATAAAATAGATATGCAGTTCGTTCCTAGTATTTACAACAAATAGTTTTAAATTAGAGCACATTCAGGAGGCACCTCCTACATACAAATGCCACATGTTTAGAAAAAACAAAGGAGAAAGGCAGTCAAAGAAAGGTATTGTATTAGTTATGGCTAAAGACCTTTGGCTCCAAAACTCTGTAATGATTATTTTCAAAAAACAACTAAAATGCAGAACATTCGAGTAGTCTGTCTTTGAACTCCTTTATTACACTGACCACTAAAACTCAATGTGAAATTTAGCATGGCAAGAGCCACTTGTAAAACAATCTTATTATTTTGTACATCAGATGCTCTGAGTTAGATGCAATTATGGTTTGGCATTATCCTAACCCAGTAGGACACATTTGAGGACAATTATGTTTTACTGCATCCCATGCTTAAAGTCTGAGGTTATCTGCTCAGCAGGCCATCAGGAAGGCTCTGGCTGTGCATTATCTACATGAGGCACAACTGTGCTTAGTAGTTGCCCTAGAACAGTTGACAGCAACTTTAGCCACTTAAAGCTTGTGAAAATAAGAGGAAAAGGACAGCTGTTGCATTCACGCTTTTTTTGTCGATATGAAATTTTGTCATCAGAAGTAGGATGAAGACTTTTGAGTTTTGCTGAAGGGAGCAGTTGCTAAACACAAATCTTTATGTTTTATTTGCAACTGTTTTCTCCACAGACTCTAAAATTAGGCTGAACCTACCAGTAATTATCTTCTTTAATTTCTGGTTAATGGAATTGAGTGTTTTCATTTAGGTGCTATTTGTTCAAAAGATTATGGTGTAGTCTAAATTTGTCCTGTCTTGTTATATTTTCTCAGCCTTCCCTGCTTAGCCAGCACATTCACTGAAAATGCACATTGTATTGGTCTCTTCTTAACCTGTTGCAAAATCACATTGCAAATAAAGACACTGAGAATATTATAAACAACCACATCTACATGTAGGATATTGTATGTCGAACTTTCCTGAGTAATCTGCACAATGAAACACTTGCTTTTCATCTCTCTGAAATTAAGTTTTCTTCGGAAGAAACCCGATCCATCCGAAACCACATGCAAACATTTATGTTCATTTTTAGGGCTAAGGCACCAGCACTACTATATGGAAAGAGCCTTTGTGGGCACTGACATGTTAGAAGATACATGCCAAAAATCTGTGTTTTCTCCAAGAATCTCACAGGACCCAGCCCTGAAATGGAGAAGGTTTTATCAAAGATAAGTGTGTGTGTAAGTGTGGAGTCAGGCCCGCTTAGCGGGGCGGAGAAACCCGACCAGCTGGGAAAGCTGCCGGCTGGGCACTGCAGAACAACTTCAGAGCTTTTTACAAATCTAGAACAAATCTTTCAAAATGTGATTATGAAATATTCTCCCCTTCCATGGTATGTGCACCGCTTTGGTTTGCAGACCTGAACATGGCAACTACCCAGAAAAATGGGTATGCAAGAAACACATAAAAAAGGGTTGGTCATGTAAGAGGAGGAACATGCATCCCTGCCCTCATTTGGAAGTCCATTCATTGTGTTTAAATTGAACATTTGGAACTATCTTTCAAAAACTCTGAAGAGAGATGGCTTGTTTTAAACATCAAAAGGAGCACACAACCCAGCCAGCTGTTTCACTTGCTTGTGTACTTTCTTTCAATTGGGTTATTGGAAATGTAAATGTATATTCCAATTCTTAACTGTTTCAGGTCATCTTCCATCACGACGGAAAAGCACAAGCAAATGAGTTCACTTCACAGTGACCAACGCAACTGAGCATCACCAGACTTCGCATCACTGCGGAGCTAGCTATATACACAAGGCATTTGAAATGTACGGTTGTCGGGTGTCATTAAAATTAAAACTATAAACCCAGGCTTTGCAGAAGTTGCCACTGAGTTATCAAACCACAAAATCTTCAGACTAGTGGGTCCACAACACTGCTGATAAATAAAAATACAGAGGTAACAACAGTAGTAGAAACAAATACATGTTTAAAATAAGGCTTTCTTTTTAACATTGTTAGTAAGATGCTTGGCCTCTAGCCCCTTTTTGTTCTTCATATATTACATGTTCATGACAAAGCTGATTGTGTCCATTGTCAAAGAATACTCTTGGATCTATCGTTATCATCAGATAATGCCCCTAATCAGCAGCATATGATATTTGAAAGACGATCATAACAAATCAGTTTTGAAACTGCAGTCTTTCTTTCCTTCCATATTAACAACAGTCTTGCCATCCTTAATTTGAATTATCAGACAGAAATTATCTGTGCTCCATAAGTCAAGATCCTCTTTCCTCCTGGTGGCTTTTTAAAAGTTATTCTCCCAAATCAACTTCATGTTATAGGCAAATTAGATATTGCAGACGCTGGACAGAGATGACCTCAGTCAAGACAGGTCCTTCCCCTCCCAATACAAAATGACGGTCTTTCTTACACACAAAAATCCGTTTCTGATCCACACAGTTTCTCTGTCCATTCCAGTAAGGATTTCTCTTTCTTTGTGAGGAAACAACTGGTCAAACCCTCTTGTCAGCTGACAGCGTGTAAGTAGCACAGATTCAAACCTCTCCAGGAACTTAATGGAGATTTATATTACCATTCATTCATTTTTAAGTGAAGCTGTATGAGAAGGAAGTACAAAGAGCGAGAACTATTTAACACCAACTATAGTGCCAGCAGTTGCTCATACTTGGTCACCTCTAAATTTGTACATTCACATTATCTCCATTAAAAAATAAAAAACTTTTTACACTGAGAAATAAGCGTATCCGAAGTATAAAGAAGCATCTCCCAGGCAAAGAAGTGCACAGAAAATGATATAAAAGCTCTATACTGAAGAGCGTACATGCATGCTGTATATTGCTATGACTGAAAGTATTCAGAGATGTCGTGGGCTCCTCTTGTTTTGACTTGTATGCAATAAATGCACAAATCTTTATATAGTCCATTTTGCACTCTGTTCATGATTCTATATGACAGAACAAAATTTCCCTGTTCCAATCTGGAATATGGTAAGGCCTTGCGGGACTTTCTCCTGCCATTTGGCAACTTAATAGAAAAAGACAGGAAGGATTAAGGCCTGTCAAATTCTGCATCAGTACTTCAATCGTATGGGATCTCTCCACCTGATTTTAATATGTGGTCCCTGCTCAGTGCTCCAAAAAGGAGAAAACTCCCCTAAGATTCCCTGCTGATACAACTTTAGGGAAAAATTCCTCCTTAACCTAAATTTGGCCGTTAGTATAAGATCAAGAAAAATGAAATGTTACAATGACCTGAATAATTCCATCATTATTTGAAGATAACAAGGAAACAGAGATGAAATACCGCCGCTTTAGAACAACAGCAGCTTCTCTTTGTCAGGAGGGACTCTGCTCTTCATCAGCAATGCTCATGGATGCCGCCAACATTGCTTCCAAACAGTGGTGATGAACCTCACTCTTCTTCCAGATAAAGGTGGTATTTCTGGCTCAAGGGAGCCTAAGTTTTTTCCCTCTAAACCTGAGGATTCACTGAGCGCAAATAAGCTTAACCAAGCTCCAAGGTCTTCTCTGGAATAACTCTTCCCCCACGCTGGTGTCCTTGGCCTCTCACTTCTTGAACGGGGTGAGCTTGTTGAAGGTGTGCCAGAAGAGGGACGGCTTCCGCTTGGGCTCTGCCAGGGCAAAAACCTGCTGCTGCGGGATGCTGGTGGGCACGGTGATGTGGCGCTGGTGGATGGGATGCAGGCTTTGGTGTGGAGGAGGCATCGGGCACCCGTTATAGCTTACACCTGCGGAAGGAACAGTTTACAGGCACCTATGAGACACCTGGCAAAGTAACCGGGAAAAAATAATCACGATAGCGGGACAAATCCAATGGTCAGTAAAGTCAGTGCAAAATCCATCATAATATTGAGTGGAAGCAGTACTAGATGTTACCCTTTCTAATTTCAGACCTTTTTGTTGTTGCTTGAAGTTGGCTCGAGAAGAAGATAGAATTATACCAGTGCAAATAACGTTACAGAACTATCAGAAAGATAAGCAGCTGTTTCACAAAGCCTGGCAATATTGTTTGTACAGGTTAGTTTTGTTAATTCAAATGAAAGACACTGAAAATACATGCTGCCATTGTAGTCAAATTTTGGGTAAGCCTGGGCAAAATGTTTCTAACAATAAAAATGCCCTCCTTCAATTTGGAGAATACTTTTCCAGCATAACGTTCTCAGACTTTGGCCTTTGCACATCCTGATCTCTTATTTCCAGCCTCAACAATCCAGACAGGTTCATAATCCACTATTATTTTATTGGCATCTAGTGACCAATAAAGAGAAGAAGAATTATTGCTTTAATAACATTGAAACAGAAGCAGAGAACTACCTAATACCAACTTTTTTTTTCCTAAATTCAGACTTAATTTAAGAACAGAGTCTTCTGTTTCGATATTCTGGTAATACCAACTTTTTTTTTCCTAAATTCAGACTTAAGAACGGATTCTTCTGTTTCAGTGTTCTGCTTCTGTTTCAATGTTATGAGAAATAAGTTTCTCAATTTATTCCCTCAATACACTAGACATCTTGGCAAATTTGACTTTAAAAACTGAAAAGGACAAAATCATCATACTTTCTAAGACAGAAAAGGAATTAAAAGGTTTTTTTCCCCCATTTTTCTCTAGTCAATTACTCTCTTAACATTTCTGTGCATGTTAAGCAAATTGGAAGAAGGATAAAAAAGAAGTCGTGTAGAGTGTGCTATTACCAATGCAGCGACATGTGTCTCCCAGAAAGACTGCTACAGTACACTAAAGAAGAGCAAGATGTCAAACTAAGAGCAGTGCAAGGAAAGAGTAACTCTAATTTCTAATTTAAAGTTTGCATACAGTTCCTTATATCCTTAAATAAACCACTTACCCTATCTGTTAAGTTTCTTCCTTGACAGAGATAATATTGACTTGCCTACTTGAAGGAGATTGGCAAGCCAACAGTGGATAGTTTATAAAGGTATTTGAAATTGAAACATAGGCTAAGGGAGATTTGAATTCTATTTAAACCAATGATTTTTTTTTAAAATAAAAAGACTCAACCATAGTCCGATTGTTTTACTTCCTAACATAATAGAGGGTAGAGTACATTAAGAATGTAAAACAGTTCTTAAATACTCACCTTTAATTTTTCCATGCCTTGATTTTCGGGCATTCTGCATGGCTTGTTTCTTCTGATTTTCTGAGATTTCCATTCCTACATCAAAGAGAAAATAAGGGCACTAGTATAAAAAACACTGTATCTATTATTTGATTACATTCAATTAAAACTGGTAAATAAACTATTTTAACTAATTTTAAGAAAATCTTACTAGCAGTGTACTTTTCAAAAGCATGTTTTGCTTTGTCAAATAAATTTGAAGATTCAAACTTTTTCACTGGAATAATGGTAGAAACATTAACTTGCCAATTGATTAGTGGGTAAAGTTTGTTTTCCTGTTCCAAGAAGTGGTGATCATTGGGGAGCTAACTAGTGATAATGTTCTTTTATAGATAAATCCAGATAAATAGAAAAAAAATAAATTAACACTTCTAAAAGTTACATGCCATCAAGTATTAGATAAAAAAAATGCAGATTCTTTTCATTTACTCTGCTCTAACTTGCATTAACAAACTGAAGTCACTGGCACTGCAGTAGTGCAAATTTGGTATAAAAGAAACTAGACTCTTGATATCTTCGTGTTTGAAATACTCAATCTTATTGCAACCTTCATCTTGCTCAGTAAGAAGAAACTTCCTATTTTCCTTCCCCATTTTCACTGCTTACACGCTCTGTGTTTAATGAGTTCATGTGCACAGCACATGTGATTTGGGGATGTGCTAGGAGAAGCAGCAAATAGAGCAGCACAGAAATTGCTGTGCAAAGTCGTAAGAACAAAGCTGCTGGTTGAGATCCATTTTGCATTTTCCTCCACTTATCTATACTTTCAAAATTCTGTTTATTTTTTCTTCTTTAGCCTGGACTTACAAACAAGATATTACAAATCAGCAAAATCATACAATACAACAGTGTTTAGCTGTAATTTTAGGGTTGCAGAAGTTGATTCTCTTTTATTCTGCAACTTTTTCCTTCATAGGAATAAGAACATAGCCAAAATTTAAAAAAAAAAAACAAAAAAGGAAAAAGCAATTTCATCAACAAAGTTCAGGCCATTTTCTTAGGCTTACCATTAGTGGTTTGGGAGTGATTTTTTAGCTATGGCCTTTTTTCATTTACATTCATAGAAGCTAAGAAAAGCTTGATATGGTTTGGAAGACAATGGCCTGCACCAAAGCATCTTTAAAAATAGAAGCAAAAAGCTGTTTGCAATTCTGAGTTTTGAAGAGTTGTTCTTTGATGGTTAGAGGTTTCCTGTGAATTCCAGCAAGATCGCTTACAGAACCAGTGAGATAAATTTAAACCTGAGGTTGAGAATACTGGCACCTTTCCACTGGTTTTAGCTAACAGAAATGTTCAGCTATGCCAAAAAATCAAATCTGGGTCTTCTGGGTAATGGGGAAAACATCGAAGTCACTCACTGGGTCTTGCAAGACCAGACGGACATTTGCTATTACAACTCAATTATCTTTTCTCTGGTTCAAGATACTGATGTGAGAATCTTAAATCTGAATAATCAGCTGCAACACATGAAAAGCAACAGTTTCCACAAGATTTTGCACAGGCATTCAGGGACACAAACAGCTGCGTGTGCATATGTGACATTATAAGAAACACTTTTTGTCAGCATGCAGTGATTTACTCCATTATATCACAAACTGCCGTAAGAAGAGAAAGCACTGAGGACCTCCCTCGCAATCTTTGCACTCACCATCACGGAAATTTGTGACCTAGCCTTAAATAAGGGTTAGTTACTGATCTCTGTTATTACTCTTACTACTGCACTGTGCAACTGCCACCCCTTCTGAGGGTGGTCTCAGTTGGGGTGACTATCCTGATTTCATGACCTCCCTGTAAAATTATATAATATTTATATTTAAGGTTGTAGCTGTTACACCTTTGTAGCTTCCTCATACGTGGAGCTTTCTGGGGAGAATCACCTGAATGGTCACACAGCACTGCCTGTACCTGACAGACCTGTTGCTACCATGAGCAGGTAGCCCAACACTTGGGTAACCCAACTCTCCCAGTGCTCTAGAGAGGAGCTGCGGCAGAGGAAGGTGGAGAGCAACAGAGTTGTAGAACTCAGGAGAGCTCCTCACAAGGTATCAGTAGTGGAAAATGATGGCACTTCTTCTGCTCAGTCCCATTCAAAAAAAGTGTGTATGCATTATTTGAAAGATAGGTGTGAGCCATGGAGCTGGGGAGATGGCAGAGGAGGAATAGGACAGGAGGAGGAACACTGCACTTTGTACAGCCAGGGCCTCCTGCCCTTCGGTGTAACTGACCCACTGTTCTCCACTGGAGCTGCGGCTTTTAGTAGCTTTGTTATGACAAGTGAGATAGCTGGATCACTGGATCCTATGAAATAAATTGCTTTATTGCCTTCCAGTCACCATCACCCTTTTGCAGCAGCCACTTTTTAGGGTTCTGTCTAGGCTAACTGGGGAAGGCAGCCAGCACACACTGCCCTGAGCAGCGAGCACACAGGAAAAGCCATCAGGGTTGTGCCCCATTGGCTCCTACTGCCGCAGGGGCACGTCCAGCACAGGAGGAAGGGCTGTTTTAACAAGCCTGGGGAAAGGTTAAGTGTGGCTGCTTCACTGTTTACTCTGGACACAAGTTCACAGGGATTAACTGCAACACTTTGTGCAATGGGAAGGGTTTTAGACTGGCTTTAGAGCATGACTTGGTATAATCTGAAAGCATTCCCATTATTATTCTTGGAGTTTTGAATGATGGCTTGATCATAATGTTTATCCTTATGAACTGAAAGAAATATAACTTCGGAGCTAGGAACTAATAATACCCAGGCACTAAAATCAGCAGTTGCTGCCTAAGGGTTATTCCTGTCTTCTTTCTTATGAACAGATGTTTTGAATGAACATGGAATGTGAGATTGCCAACTTTTTAAAATGTTAATAATTTCTCAGTTATGTCATCCAGTTCAGAGCACTAAAGACTTTAACCTGCTGCCAGCTAAAGCCTGAAAAGTGTTACTTATGAATTCTGCTATTCTCTTCCTCATATAGGTAATGTTATAAAAAGGAGAAGTTCTTGTGCACAAGCCAGCAGAGAGACATGCACACAAACTTGCTTTTGAAAAGCAAAAAATGGTAATAATAGTAAAAGTACTATTTACTATTTTTACTATTATTACTATTATTCTTATTATGTGTGTTTCCCAGTGAAAACTTGTTTCACTGGGAAATTGACCATACTAAAAGGAAGCCTTTGAGAGGAAACTTTGCACTCACCCATTTCTTTGTCTTCCCGAACTCTCCTCCTCTCATTTTCACATGCCTCCATCCATCTCTTCTTATCCTCCTGTTTTTTTGCACAGAACAAATGAATCTCATCTGTTGCTCTGTTTACAATCTTAAAAGCATTCTTCACGTTAATGTTGAAGTCTTTGTCTTTGCCATCTTCAGTGTCCACAAGTTCCATCTCATCCATGTCCATACGATCTTTGTAATACAAGATGTCCCTTCGCAGTAGGTCCTTCTTACAGAACACAAGCTGATGGTCAAAAAGGAAGAAAGTTCTCTGCTGGCTTTTGCCTTGCTTTGAAATTTTAGTCAGTTCTCCTGAATGGATCAGTTCTGAGCTTCTGGCTAACACATCTGGTCCCTAGAAAAAAATACATATTTTTATATAATAGTAAGTAAATAATATGTTAAGATCTTACCGTTCTCACTTTACTAATTAGTCTTATGTTCATTCAATTTTCTTATATTATTATTGTAAGATTTGAAAGTGTCTGAGAGAGATAATCTTACACAGACAAACTCAGCGAGCATGATTCTGTTCTTTATCTCTGCATAAATCAAGAGGAAACTCTAATTATAAAGTCAGTGATGCACATTCTAATTCTGATAAAACTTCTAGAAGTCAAAACAAGAGTCTACAGATGTAAGATAAAAAAGTCCATTTTCTACATGCCCATGTTATCTCAAGTGCATGTGTACATACAATATCTGCTGCTCTTCCTGAGTACAGAACGAGGTAATCAGTAACGCAGTCACTGCAAATCAGGCAACAGGACTTTTAACTGAGCAATAACCAGTTAAAATGTGGGCACTATAAACTCCCTGCACAGCAAGGCACGTCCTCCAGAGCACAGGAGGTACCGTGCACAGGACCTTTGCCCACCAAAGGGACAAGTGACGCTTACCTCCCAGTCTACTATAGACACTTGCCATCGCGCGATCTTGTCTATGCTTTCCAGTCTCCGCTTTCGCTCATTGATCAGGCAAGCTACATTCTTCATAGCCTCATAGGCAGCTTTAATGTTGTTATAATCCCTGTGAAGCACAGACACATGTCAAACACCACTTATGCAGTGGATATGATGCAAGTAACTAAGAGTATATTTGCCTCTACTACCCAATGATGCCTCTTCTTCAATAAGATAGTTGATTCTCAGCTAACTTAGAATCATAGAATCCTTCAGGTTGGAAAGGACCTTTAGAGATCATCCAGTCCAACCCCGCCCTGCACACACAGGGTCACCTAGAGCACGTGGCACAGGGTGGCATCCAAGTGGGTTTTGGAGATCTCCAGAGAAGGAGACTCCACAGCCTCTCTGGGCAGCCTGTTCCAGGGCTCTGGCACCCTTAGTGTCAAGGAGGACATATACTTGAACTTGAAGCACATATAGTAGTCTGTACAACTCAGTGCTACTATACTGCTACGCTTTGTCCAGGAGCAAATCACTAAACCAGTGCAGGGAGGTAGATTTATGAATTGAAACACTGACCCTGGTAAAAATCTCACCAACCTCAGTGACACATGCATTTCACCAAAGGAACTCATCTATAAGGAAGATTTTAGAGGAAATTTATTGGAAAGGTCCTCACTTTAATTGTGTTTTACACCTGTATTTTCTCATTCCTGCAGCCTGAGTCCATGAATGTGAACAGAAAACTGGGAAGGAAACAGACTTATTTTTGGCCTTAAGAGTCCCAGCATTGCAGCCCCCTCCTTTATCAGGAATGGAGCCGGAGAGAAAATAGCATGAGCTAGAAATAAATCCTGTGCAGAGGGTCAGCCTCACTGGCCTTTTTATCTACTCCTGTCTCAGTTCCTATTTTCATCTGCTGCTGCTGATGGATGCACTTCCCTTCTCCCCTGAGTGTTACTCTCTTTTTATTTATATCTCTGGAAACTCTTTTCGGTGGCGCTGTATACAAAAAGTGAGATTAACAATAACAGGATCCTCCTGATGTCAGGGAGATGTCCCACAGTGCAACTGCATGATATTAATGTGGTCACTCTCGCCCTTCCTTATCTCAGTTCCTTCTTCGCTGGTGGGTGCATAAGCCCTCACTTGTTGCATGACCCGTGGCCTTCACGGCAGGCAGTGCACGTTGAGTCTTTAATCACAGTATGAAAACAAAAGAAAAGATATTCCAAAACAAGCTGTCTGGAGCTCTACCAAGGCCAGCTGTGTGTTTTTGAAGGCATCTCCGTGCATAGTGCCACCAAAGGCAGAACCAAGCAGCACGGGGGAAAGGTGGTCAGACATTGCTGTCACTATCTATCTTAGCAGCTCGCTGCATAATCTTCCTAAAACAACGAGCAGTGGAACAACCACTAATGTCAGTACTTGTTGCTGGACCCTGTCAGCTGCAGAACTGAATGGAGGCATTACGCTCCTGAACACCAGTATTTCATGCCCTAAACCACAGCCCCTAGCAAAAAAAAAAAAAAAAAAAAAGGGAGAGAAAACACTGTTACCAAGGGGAGCTTTCTCAAGATTAAAAAAGTGCAGACTTTGGCCCGTGAAACTTTGCTTCAGGCAGCATCTGGACTTTGAGCATGGCTAGGGTCACAGTGGAACATTTTTCTTGCAGTCGTGCAAGGTAAAAGACAGTCATTTAGAGATAAAATCTTAATTTATTCAAAGCGCGAATCAGCCCACGGGTATACCAGAAAGGCTAAGAACCTGTAACTTCAGTGGAGCAATTCAATTTTATCCCAGCTGAAAATCTGGGCTTTGTTGCAAAAAAGTATTTTGGAGCAAAAGCAGAAAACTAAGTTTCCCTTTATCTTCCAGCATGCCAAGCTTTCTAGCAGACACAAAACAAAAACATATTTTCATAATAAAACTGGTCACTTGAATTTCAGCTCAGCTTCGGCTGGTTCTGGGTTGTTTTTACAATTACATGGAGTGGAACTCATTAGTTTCTTAAATTAACAAAAAGTCCCATCAAAATCAAATTCTGAATTTTAGGTGTTATGGTAACAGTGTCTCACACACACTCAGAATAATGTTTTCCTGGTCTATGCTGTTTTCTGGTCTATGGTAATATTTACTTAACTTTTAATACCTGAAAACAGTATATGTGCTATATATATTAACTGCGTAAACAGAAGTCCGTGTACTAATCACTTAGAAGGAAGAATTTTTAAATCAATAGTTTGTCTTTACTGAGAAGCACTTTTTTTTTCCCTATTCTGCTCTGGTCTCCACCTACTCCACCTAGATTTATTGTATTTTCTGATTTTCATAATTTACAATCAGTGATAAAGACGCAACTTAGAGATAAAATGGAACATTGTGCTTTGCCCTGGTGAGATGAACGTTGAGTTTTGAGGGGCTGGGACCTTCATACGAACTTGACAAGTGGCTCAGATAGAAAGAGGTCTGCAAGGAAGTGATAACAAGGATTCTCATGGAATTTTTTGTGGTGATCCTCATGAAATTATGGGGTAAAACAGGAGGGGAAGGGACCTCAGC